TTGTGGAGGCAGTGTTACTGGTTTCAAAGCTCAAGGCTGAAGTTAGATTTTGCCGTCTTCATTGGAGGCGAATGAAGTCAGAGACTATTTCTTTTCTGCATGACGGGTCATATAGATGCGGATCTCCCATCGTGTGGCTCGTGGGGGAGAATTTGGATTTCTCTTGTTTACGCAGTACGGACACGTGCATTTTACGAAGTCTTCTTTCTGGTCCTTCTGGTACAGCACGCAATCAGGAGGATATCATGCACAAAGCAATGGTGCTTTTGGACATTCACTTTGAGGTTGCTCATCCCGCAAACTTTGTGCGCTGGCGTTGGCTAAGATCTGCGTCCAGAAGATCAGCTTGCGAGATTGATATTGTGGACGTCGAAATGGGGTGTGGAAATATATCTCTTTAGTGTGCCCTCCACAATACAATGCATTAAGTGAATCTCTGGAAAGTGTGACATTGCTATCTTGACAGCAACCGTGACCTTCACCGGTGTGAACGTCACGCGATTTCATGCAGAATGCCATTGCCGGATCTGAATTTGGTGGTTATTTGGTCGGTTTGTGACTTACGGCCGTGATCAACCTGCAATTTTGGATTTGGGCATCATGCCTTAGCACTGAGTGTTGTACTTTGCAGCACAATACGTCCTACGTGGATGTCGTGGTATTTGTACACCGTGAAATCTGCGATATTGTTCTTTGGACACCTATTTGCTTTAGGTGTCGTGATGGGAATGGTGCCACCATTGCCCTTGTATGTTATAGTGTGGCCATCACCGGTTTTGATGACTTGGTACATTATGGTGTCCATCTTCATCTACGGACCTGAATCTGGACACTACAATGCGATTGGGACATGTGGTATCCATCGCTTATTTTCTACATCTGGTGTTGCTGCATCATATGGTTGTTTGGTGATCCTATCGAAATACTTCGCACTGGTTTTGCTGGAAACTATGTGGTGCAGAGCAGAACTTTCTGCTCTCCATTGGGTTTCGAGATGCTGGAACTTTGTTTTGGCTGAACGAGATGTTATCGGGGAACGAACATGAGGTTTGAGGAAGTTTTGTGAACCAGAAGAACATTGCACAGAGCATTTGTAATCATCTACTTCGTTCTTGAGTGTAAAGAACTCTGGTTATTCACGTTTGGATGAAAACTGGAATTATTTGAGAGCTTTTGGAAGTAGATCAAGCTTTAGTAGCTAGCTGAATTTGTGACCCAACGCAATTTGGAATTGTTCAGTCGACCTTTTAGGAAAGGTCGTGGTTTTTGGACCTGGAATTGCGTTTCCTCACCAGACATTGGCTCGAGGGAGCTTTAGTGTCATTATGTTCAGAATTGAACAGGACTGAGTTTCACAACCAGCAACATAGCACGAACACCTTTGAGGTTTTGCCTCTTGCGGGTGTGTCCCGTTTGTTGACTTGCCTCCTTTGTGTTGCGTCCGAGCAAAAGACCGAAGCTAGCGTTTGCACTTAGGAGTCGAGGTTGAAACTCCGTGTTTAGGTTTTGAGGTTCTGATTTCCGGAACTTGGGTTTGATCTAGGAAACTAGACTTTATCAGCAAGGCACCCCCACATGTAATCCTTACACCATGTCTAGCCACTAACCCACCAGGACACGTCCAAGGGCCACATGAGCGATATCGCTGCAAGACAACAACAAAACCTACTGCAGCAAACAACCAACCGCTTGCAACCGAAACTACACTAGAAGGCGCGCACACACCAAGTAAAACTGTTTGACTGTGAGCCAGCGCAAAATATATATCTTCTATGGACATTTTTTCACTTTTCTGACGAAGCATTGAAAGGTGCAAGCAGGAGGCGCCGCAAACCACGGCTTGACCAACACATGCGCAGCAACCTCGAGGCGCTTGCAGCGAACTCAGCCAAGCGAGGAGGCAATAAAGTAGCAAGAAGCGGGTGCAAGATCGCAAGATTGAGCAAAATGAGGTTCCAAAACCAGGGGGCTCAAAAGAGGCAGTTTGGCGGTGACGCATGGGCGTACCCCCAACTCTAGCTGACTAAACGCTGGTGTGTTATGCAGAAATTTTGCTAATTTTTGGCGGGAACTGCCGTATTGGCAGTGGTGAACAAACTTCTTGCAAACACTGTCATTCCTGGAATGCAACGAAAGGTGTGTCTGCCACATGAAAGATTTACCTGGATTTTCTCGGCGAAATAGATGCCGAGCTTGAGGCAAAGTTACACAGCTTGATCAAGATAGCATTCTGTGCATGCAGTCCATGTTCGCCTTGCAGGAAGCCACTCTGCAAACCATGAGGGCAACCACTGACATCCAGCCCAAACGTAGCTTGCCCCCCAGCGTGACCCGGGCAGAATCTGCCTCGGTTCACAAGATTGACCACATAGAATCCCTCATTTCGTACGTTCTGCGTGAAGCCGAAGAACGAGGCCATCATATGCAGCTTTGATCAAAAACTTGGAATCTGGTAGATACGTATAAGCAAATTCTTCTAAGTGAGCATGCACATGAAAACGACCCCTATTTGGTAGTGTGTTGTCCACAGACCCGAAGCCCTAAAACCTTCAAGCAAAAAGTTTTGCCCTTTGCTTTGGTTGCATCTGTAACCGTTTTCTGTCACAAAACTTCTCTGGCTTGTGTGGACGTGATATTTTGACGACTTCTTCTCAATGGTGGAAGAGCGGGACCATTAGACACACGGATATGGCAGTCATGTCACTTTTCAGCATGCTTGGTTGGAAACTTTGGACTGAAAAACTCCTTGCCTGCAGCACCATGCGAAGTTCTTGGAATGGAATTTGACTTGCGAATGTCAGGGGGCAGCTTGACCACCTTTTGCAACACCTCCGAGCGAGTCGTGTGAAAGTCTTGACAGAGTCATACAGGATGGAAAACTCAAAAGAAGCGAAGGTGAAAGGTTGAGAGGAAGATTGCAAATTGCCGGCGGGCAGCTGTTTGGCCCGCAATCACCTGAAAAATTGCTGTGGATGCACATCCAGAGTGGCAGATTCGCCCTCAGTGAAGAAACGGTCTTCGCTCTGTCTAGAGTCTAGCATCTGGGATCAACCCAATGCCAATAAACTTCGCAAGATCTTAGGGTCCTTGTCAGACCACATCCATGCATACGTAGATGTGTCATTTGATGACACAGGTTACTCAGGAGCGGGCGGTGTGTTGCTTGATTGTGATGGCAAAAGTATTGGACTTCTTCAGTGAAAAGATTGACCAACTTTTGTTGATCTTACCAAAGCGGTAAACCAAGAGACAATCATTCAAGAACGTGAAATTTTGGCCCTTGCCATCGCAGTTGTAATGTGGGGCCCTAAGTTTAAAGGCAGAAGGAATTATTGCCTTCACCGACAGTGAAGCGGTATACGTAGCAGTTTCTTGAAAACATGGTCAAACAATCGGCCGTGCAACAAATTGTTGGCCAAAGCCTTCAAGGTCGAAGAAAAGTTTCTCTTCCTTGTCTGGTTAGAGCGAGTGCCTAGCCAAAGTAATCCTTCGGATGAACTGTCCAGAAGCGAAGTTGCTTTCTGGCGAGGACTGCAGAGGTCCCGAGTCTTTCCCAGAGAGTTGTGGGAGCACGTTGCCAACACCTTGGAGTAAGAACGCGACAGCGACTGTGCTCGAACATCTCCCTAATCAAAAAAAACAAGTGCCGCTGATGTGTGAGCCGAGTGAACATGTGCATCATCAGATTGATTGCTGTTTCATGGCACTGCAGCTGAGAAAACATCAGACAAATAAGAATTCTCTCTTGTGCAACATGATAGATTTTATTTGTGGATGTTTCTCAAACAAGACGACCTTTGTGAGTTTTGGGCAGTGCTTCAAGTCGTGATGAACATGTTCACTCATCATTGCATCTTCTGATCAAGCTTCAAGTGAAGCGTGCGGCAAGTGCCGCTAGGGACATTTTGGATTCACATGACATGATATAACTTTAGCACATGTTCAAATCATGTTGCCAAGGTTTCCATGTCCCAAGTCCCAAGTTCAACATTAGTTGCACTTCAACTTCAATCCAAACATGTCACAATGTCGACATTCGTCCCTACCCAACTACGTTTTTCCCGTCCCTCTGAATGCAATGAACGTCTTGCCAGATGAGGACTTGCAATCGATGTTCCGAAATGTGCACCTCACTCAAAGCCACATCAATAGAGTTGAAACCATCGAAAAGGGATGGTCGAATTCTCCGACTATATGGAAAACCAAAATCTGACAGTGGCTGCGCAGATTCTTGACCATATGAGAGCGGATTTACATCAAGCGGAAATCAGTTTGAATTTCCTGCTGACGATGCAACGGTTACAAGTCACCAGGCGCCTCCAGCAGTATTTTCAAAACCTTGTCCACTCCCTTTGATCAATGAAAATTTCAACTGAATGTGGCATCGTCCACTTCTTCTTCTCCAGTCGCCGGTTGTTGCCCTACCCGCAGCCAGAGCGTGACAGCGACTGTGCCCGAGAAGTGCTGCTGATGCGTAAGCTGAGTGAACGTGTGCATGATCAGATTGATTGTTGTTTCATGGCACTGCAACTGAGAAAGCATCAGGCAAATAATAAACCCGTCATTAATTCCCATCAATGCTGCGATTGCCAAAGCACATGCAACGCGAATCCGAACTTCAAACCAGACAAAAACGTGCAAAAATAAGACACAATTCAACAGATAGTGCAACTATATAACTATTTCAAAGTATGGTAGCAAAACACATGGAAATTAAATTTGAGAAACATTGATTTATTCCTTTTTTGAAGCTTTTGCTTCAAATTTGACTAATCCAAAACCACGGATGGAATTTTCTTGTGAACCTGTTGGATGTGCCTTCCCTTGCCATTTGATCAGTCGAAATGAAATTTTGTGATTGCCCAATTGATTATGCATCCTTTTGGCAAAATGATAAAATTTGCGCAGAAACACATGCAAAAATCGTGTTTTACACAACCGTTGAAATATATGTTTTCAAAATAGTGAAAGCATGCGAATTTGTTTGCCATTTACCGTTCTTCGACCCTCGCATTGTTCCAATGGCAAGAGCCCGGGCCGCAGCTTTTGGTTGGGTGATAATCAGATGCAAAATTTTTGAACGGTATCTTCTGTGTTCCGTCCAGAATGGTATTATGCAATACGTATTCAATGTACCAAGCAACAATTCTGGCATCTGCGCCTTGTGGTGACATGGCAATCAAATTTTGTTTCCTTACATGTATCGAAACCTTCAAATGGTCCGTTGCATTGCAGGCCAAAGGCATCACGATTCGAAAAGATGATACCAGACGGATGGAAGAAGAGGCAATACCGCTTGCACTATGCAGTAGTTGGGGTACAACTTATTTGATGGCAGTGGGGGTTGCAATGGAGGGTTGTGTAATCTTGTGTGAAATGTCAATCCCGTGTAGTCAGTTTTTTTTTGAATGGAGTGCAAACATTGCATTCATGGCGTGCTAGCTTCGTGTGAATCCGGAGCAAAAGGCGAAACAAATGGAAGCAAAGTTGGAACTCTTGCGGAGAACCATGGATGTGGATGCCTGAATCTTCAATTTTACCGTTCGTTTTAGAAATGTTTGTTTGTTGGTAATTAAAAATGGTTGTTGCATCGTTTGAAATGTAAGGTTGCTGAGCAGTCTGGCAAAAGTGTCATCCTCAGATCACCGATTTTTTCAAATAACAGAAACCAAAAAAATAAGGGGTTCACTCTGGCATCCATTTTATCAACTTTATTGAGAGGCTGGACTTTTCCCAACACTAGCGGCTCATGAGCAACAGTGGCAATATTGGCATTATTTTTTGCCAGGTCCTGATGGCAGGTGCGCCTTCCTGGCACAGTGATTTTGTGTTTCTCCATAATGTAATGTCAGTCAAAGATCGAAACAGATTCATTGATGAACATGTTTTGTGTTTGTTTCATAGTTTTTCTTAAACCATGTTCTATGCAAGAGCATCTCGTTCAGGTTTGGTGCTCATGATATTGTGCATTTTCAAACAATCGGCTTGAAACAGCATGTCGCATTGGGTCTCTGCAACCGTTAAAGAACGCAAAACCCAAAATTGCAGGTGGAAGAGTGGATCGAGTAGCAAACCTTTGACAAAAGGCTATGTGAGGTCAGTGCTGGAGGCAAATTTTTTGGCAAATGTCACAGTTGCGCAATGGAAGATCAGTCCATGTACAGTAGATGAATTTTTGTTTGCATAGGATGCGAATGCAAGAATTGATCAAACTGGCAGGAACACACTTTTCCCACTTGGTGATGTGTTGGAAGAGAAACTGTTGCGAGGCTCCAAAACCAAAGAAATTTATCGATCAAAAGTGCCTTTGCTCGGTCTTATTGTCTTGATCACGCGGGGTAGAGGGTACAGTAGTCTGTTTCATTGATGATGTTGTTTGGGCTGTGTCTTTTTGTGTCAGTCGTCTCTATTTCTGCAGGAATCTCACCAGCTCTTTGTTGACTTTTGAGGCAAGAGAAGGCAGAAGCAAAGTCGCCGGCATCCGAGGCCCCAATATTTTTTCCCATTTTTTTCCTCTCACGGCAACCTTAATGAAAACAATTCAAACTCCTCAGACTTGTGCCATCTTATGTCACGAGATCTTGCTAACTTGCTCTTTTGATTCCCGTCCGAATGATTGTCGCATCTGCAGGCAGCTTCTTCCAGTCCAATGACTCAGTTGCTGTCCGGGCGACAAACGGAGGCTCGCTTCACTTCGTGAGGTGAGAATTAGACAGCATGCGATGAACCCATTTCACACATTTCTTATTTTTACTAACCTGCAAGAAGGAAATTAACTAGAGTTGTCGCGAGAACCAAGAAATGCGTTTTTTTTTCATGATGGCAATGTCACGAATCAGAGAAAAACCAAGGGTCCTTGATGGTCCTTTAGATCTGATCCCTTAGGATCAAAGATCAAGACACGTGGCATTCTGCAGCATTCTGCAGCATTCTGCAGCATTCCGCATGGAAAGAGTGTCTCAGGCCAAAGGTGCTGCCTCAAACCTGAAGGCAAAAGGGAGCTGAGCAAGACATGTTAGACATATGAGACATATATTATATAGATTTATATAGACATGTTGTGAACTGCTGATGGTTTTTCCGGCAGTAAGAGCCTGGAAGATGGTGGTAGTTTGGAAAGTTCAGAAAGCTTTTGCCGTGGAACAGGCAGCAATGCAGCACCAAGATCGAGATGCCCTGGAAGTGGAGGCCACACTTGATTTTGAAGTCTGTGCACCAGCTTTGCTGTATGAATGCCTCCAGTGAACGGTTGTGTTACATCCACGGGAAATTGGCAAGTTGTGGCAAGTGGTGCAGTCACTGATAGCTTTGTGTTTCGAGGCATTTTTGTGCTCGCTGAAGCTCGACAGATATGTCAGCCTCTTCATGGAGCCATTGAAACGTTGTGTCAGTGACTGTCAGTGCTTGTGTTTCTTCTCATGTCGAGAAACTAGCTGCTAACTGGTAACTAGATGTAACTAGCTTATTTGAGGTGTTTGAGCAATTCGTTTCTTTTTCTTCCCAATTTGTGTTCTCTCTGAGTCTATCATCGATAGGAGCATGGCTTCGATTGCATGGATGTCGTGAAGGAAATGGAGGAGACAACTGAATCCTAAAGTAGCTGCTGGCCCTTGGCAGACTTGTAGCATTTCTGTCATCCAGTGAGCTCACACACATGCACACCTTTTTCAGAAAAAGGAAAATGCCTGCAGATCCCCAGTGCTGCAAGTCTTTTTTCTTGTAAGTTTCATTTATATTCATTTATGGTATGTACACATATGTACATGTGTATGTATATTTGTACATATAATTATATTATGTATATTCACCCCGCTTCGCGTGGGGTGGCCGCCCACACCGCAGGTTTATTTCGGTCCGTGAGAGGGGCTAAGGGTGGTGTGGAATATGAGGAGCAGAGCAGCACAGGAGAATTGACATACATAACTGCTGGGTTCGTGAATATTTTTTTAATTTTCACTTTCCCCCCCCGTGGGGGCTCCCCAAGCTAGGGAATTTTCACTTTCCCCCCCCCGTGGGGGCTCCCCAAGCTAGGGAATTTTCACTTTCCCCCCGGTGGGGGCTCCCCAAGCTAGGGAATTTTCACTTTCCACCCTGTGGGGGCTCCCCAAGCTAGGGAATTTTCACTTTTCCCCCCCGTGGGGGCTTCCCAAGCTCCCTTGGAGGCTCTCCAAGCTGCGGAATTTCAAATAGCTAGACAACGACGCCTAGATAGTCCCCCAAATCCCGTGTTCTTTGAATGTGTTTCCATGTTTTTGCAATGGTTTCCTTCAAAGCACGATACTTTATACTTTTGCCGCCATAAAACCGGTCGAAAACATAATGTTCGACAATGCTTCCAATTCCCTTATCTCCCCAACCGTTGAAAATACCGCTATTTACAGTGTTTTCTTCAATTTTTCCATGTTCCAATGCCGGTAGCCAACTCCAACATTAATATATATAAGAAATCCTTCCAAAACATTGTTTTTGACAGTGTTTTTGTAATGTTTCCAGTCAAGCATACGGTAATTCACCCCGCTTCGCGTGGGGTGGCCGCCCACACCGCAGGTTTATTTCGGTCCGTGAGAGGGGCTAAGGGTGGTTTTCCCCCGTGGGGGCTCTTCAAATAAGAAATCCTTCCAAAACATTGTTTTTGACAGTGTTTTTCCAATGTTTCCAGTCAAACAGACGGTAATTTACACGTTTTTTGCCATAAAGGCAGTAAATCCTTCCAAAACATTGCTTTTGACAGTGTTTTTGTAATGTTTCGAGTCAAGCAGACGGTAATTTACACGTTTTTTGCTATAACGTCAGTCCAAAACACTTGTTTTTGCAGTGTTTTCAATGCTCTGGCATCCAAAAACCCTGCAAAATCTTGCTATGTACAATTTTTTTTCATTTTTGGCCGTTTTTCCATTGCCGGAAAGCTACCAAAATGACCCAAAATTCCATTTCAATACCCTCTTGCGCTCAGACACCCAAAAATCCTCGAAAAATGTCGAAAACACCACCGTATTCTGGTCTCGGTGCGAAACCGTTTTTGGGGTCTGGTCTCGGTGCGAAACCGTTTTTGGGTCCCCCCCCCCAGCTAAAGCTGATATAGCGACTGCTATATTAACAAATGTCATTGAGCATTTAGTGTTGCTGTTGCCCCCCAATAAGCACGCCTTCACCGCCAAAGCGGTGTGGGCGGATTTACACGTTTTTTGCTATAACGTCAGTCCAAAACACTTGTTTTTGCAGTGTTTTCAATGCTCTGGCATCCAAAAACCCTACTACAAAATCTTGCTATGTACAATGTTTTTTTCATTTTTGGCCGTTTTTCCATTGCCGGAAAGCTACCAAAATGACCCAAAATTCCATTTCAATACCCTCTTGCGCTCAGACACCCAAAAATCCTCGAAAAATGTCGAAAACACCACCGAATTCTCGTCTCGGTGCGAAACCGTTTTTGGCCCCCCCCCCAGCTAAAGCTGATATAGCGACTGCTATATTAACAAATGTGATTGAGCATTTAGTGTAGCTGTTTCCCCCCAATAAGCACGCCTTCACCGCCAAAGCGGTGTGGGCGGATTTGAACGAAGGTGCTGCAGCACTGTAGCTTTCAATTCCAGCTTCAGAACAACGATGGTGGCTAAATAGCAGAGAAAACAGAGCCTGCCTTCATGATATTGATGGTGGCTACAATTCACATGTTGCAGAGCCCATGCACCATACTTCACGATCAAAGCTGTTGACATGAGTCATGAGTCAGGCCAATTGCTTCAGTGAATGCAAGGAGCAGCATATGCAGCAAATTGGAATGGCTGCCGGGCACATTCTTAAACTCAGGACCGGGGTGGTGTAGCTGTACATAGAATGTGTTTGCAGGCAAGCGGCGAGACAAACCAAGCTGGAACCTATGTGCATGTTCATCTATTTAGTGAAAGATGCTAAACACTTTGGACAACCCTACAATTATTTTCCAGAGAGACTGTAGATCGTAGGAAGCGCCTGGCTGAAATGAAGCCAAACCAAGCAAAGCGTTGCGATCTTGGTTCTCTCCATGAAAGCATCTCAGCATCAAAGTCTGCCCATTAGACCATGACGAGTCCATGACGGATCATGACGAACCAGAGCTATGCCACGAGTATGCAACTCTGGTCGTGTCTACACTTGAGATATCTTGAGATAGAGGTGTGGAACCAAGCAGAAAGGTAAGCTTCTCATCCGAGGCCCGACTCTGTTCTACAGTAAGTCTTATATGATTTATGTGTCACACGTCAGAGTGCTGAGGGTAGCTTCAACTAATATCAACTAATCAGTAGCAACAGCAAAACAGATGAGCTTTCAACTCTGTTTTGGACATGTTGGTACATGTTGCAGAAAGACTTGCAGTGTGCATCATGTTTCAGAGAATAGCCTCAACTTAGATGTTTCTCCACTTTTCTTTTTCTGTTCAGGTTGCACAACATGTTTCTCCTCCCGAACGCGAGTCACAAGAAGCAGGTTTGGCAAGACAGTTTTGCAAGATTTCTCAAAACACATGTGCAACAGTTTGCAATGTGGCGGGACTTTGTGAAGGGCTCACCCGTTTTGCAAAATCTTTGTTTGCCTGGAAGGTGGAGGTTTCTCGATGAACCTGCTGGAAGGCAATTTCAATGAGGAGGTTTGCCTTGTGGCAGAAGCATGTCCAGATTGTCCAGATTGTGCAGATTCCGAAATCAGTTGCAGGACTCGGCAGCCAGCTTCCAAGAGGCATTGCAAGCATGGAGACAAGGCAGATGAACGCTTGCACTTTTCCTGCCTGGCGAAGCTGAACCCGCTGAACCCAGTACGAGAACCTGGTGTTGTTTTTTTTTGCAAAGTTCAGCAAACAAGTTAACAAGATTTAACAAGTCCTTTTAGCCTTTCAACTGGATGCTGATCCCAGCAACTTTCAGTCGGAACAGGTGGCAAGCCTGCGGATTCCCGCAAAGAGAAAGTGCCAGCAGCAAAGGTCTGGCTTTGCGCCATGTGCACACAGCTATGGCAGGATAAAACTAATAGGTGGTAATTTCTGTAGATGGAATTGGGATACTATGAATCTTCTAAAGTGCATGAACTGCAATCCGACTGGTTCTGGAGGGAGGTTTGAGATGATGGAAAGCAATCACCACTGGTACTATCAAGACCTGAAACGTGACCGTGATATTTTCTTCTCTTTCACATGATGGATCTGTACAGGCTTCTGTCGGATCCTTTTGGACGATGTTGGGCGGCAGCGAAGTAAACCTGGAACGTGCCTTGGTTTCAGCATGTTTACTTCGTGCCTGTCTGTTTCAGCACAGCGGATAGCTCTGCCATGCCGCTGTTGCGCCTGCTGTGTGCCTCTGCTTGTCACATCTCAAAGCCTCAGAAGTTTGGACAGGCGCAAGCACACCAGGAAAGTTGCCCGCAGAGAGCCAGAGTGCGGAAACGTCCGGCAGACAAAGTTGTGTTGTGCACAATGTTGAAACTTATGTTGTCAATCACAGTTTTCTTTTAGGCTAGGTCTTTGTGCATGCCAAATGCAGGCGAGTCGGACAGAGATGATATTAATTTGGTGAGATGCATTACAAAAAAACTTTTTGTCGACTGCCAGGCTAGCATTTCCTCAAGAGGGTTAATCCCATGTGCATCCATGTGCCAGGTCAAACACAGCACTGGGCGAAGAAAAGCTTTGCTGCTATCAGTTTGATCCTGAAAGTGCCATCGCGAACCATCTTTATAGTGGACATCTGCACAATTCCAGTGGTTTTCTACTTCTGAGGTGCTTCAAACAGTTCTATGCACAGTGACCTGGGCTTTGATGCGATGGGACACGGTCGTATTCTGGGAATAGCAGTTCTGGTGTTTTGGGGTGTTGAAGGGTTGGCGCACTGCGAAAGTTTCACGATGTGTCTTGGATGCCTTTCTCTGCCCAATTGAACAAGAATTCAGTATTCACCAGGCACCTTTTGAAGCTGTTCTTGTTGAAGCCACAATTGTTTTTCAGGATGTTAGACTGACAAGCATGAGTTTTGTGTGAAAAAGTCACCTTCCTCGGAGCCATGCCCGCCATGGGCTCATGCGATTCTCGTTCAAAGGTATGCAGTTGAAAGACCGGATCCGTCTGCTGCTGGCGGAACGAAGAAACTCTGCTCAGAGGCACATATGAGCGATTAGGAAATACAGAAGCGGATGAGACATGAACAGGACAACCTTAATGGCTACTTTGGTCATAAATCACTTAAAAATTAAAAGTCATCGAAAGGGAAGCCGGAAAGGAATTAAACAGAATCATCCAGGTCAGTGTCGTATTTCCTGGCGACAAGAAGTGCAGCTTTTTTTGTTCAGGGTCAGTGTAAGACACCTGTCGTTGTGTTTTTTAAGGCCTGTGGAGACACCTGGTTGTCAGCTATGGAAACCAAGATGGAGGCTCATCCCAAGACGGGCTGAAGTCTTGTTCACATCACGGGAGTATCCTGATGCAGTGATGACTCCTGTTCCATTGCATGTTGAATGGGATAGCCTTCTCATCTATTTACACCACACATATAGTCTGAAGATGTCTGAAGTATAGGAACAGGAAACCAGGAACTGGAAGACAAGTCCATGACAAGGCCATCAGTGTCACTGTGGATTAAAAAGAGAGTTTGCAACAAATCGCATGTTGCCCATTAACTACAGAAACGCAAAAGAGATAAGGTGCCATATGGGTGCCACATGAAGGGGCAGATTGTGATTTCATAAATTCTGCCAGACTACCTACGGTGTCTTGCCATGTCATACCCTGTGTCTGGCTGTGGGCAGCTGCCTCGGTCTGGTCTTGGTGCCAGGCTTTGAAAAAACGGCAACAGCAACTCCAGGACCCAACTACCGTAGGTAGTCCTGGTGGTGGTTCATGGTGTTGGCCGTGTTGGCTTTTGCAGCATTTGCAAATCATGGATCCTTCCAATGCAAATCTGGCTGACGAATGTTCTTGTTTCATCTTGTTTACATCCCATGAAACCAATCACCAGCCAGGAAGAGTGCAATTCACGCAATCTTCTTCTGGGTCTTGTTTGCACTGCTAGGAGATGCAGCGCGTGCAGGCACAGGAGGACAATGTGTGTTGCGGGGGGGAAGACTTGCAGTTACAAAGCATCTCACATCTTGTTGCATGTGTATATATATATATACATACATATTAGATAATTTAAATATCAATGAATATCAATCATACATTTTGATAGAATTTGTGCTCTTGGAGACTTGTCAAGATTCATGCTCAGCAACGCGTGGGTTATAGTCCATCTCCAGTTCTCCACTCAGGATGCAGCTGAAGCTCAGACACCTGCCAGCTAGACCTTGCGGCATTGGGATGTACTTAAAGTACTTGTGAAACAGAAGCAGAAAACGGAAATAGTGCAAACTTTTGCACATGGAGTAACAACTATAGCACAAACTTAAACTTGGTCACCTGAATTTGAAGTCTCCCAGTGGCATTTAGTTGCAATTCACAAGATATTTCACATCTGTATTTCAGGTAGGGAGATCTGCTATCCAGGTTCTGGACATATTGCTTGTTGAGCGTCGAAGCTACGTTTTATTTCCATGCAAGGGACCCTGACAAGGATCCTATATGCTTTCAAGAGAGCAACACTAGTTTCACTGCAGTTCAAAGCACTGCGCCCAACTCCCTCACTCGTTGTGCATTCTGGAAATATCTGGAAATATGAGGAGCCTTGCAATTTATTGAAAGTTATGCACCATGTGGAGCCAAACTAGACAATGAAGGTTTGGCACTCCGCAGTTGAGGCAGTTGCGTCAACAATGTGCTTCATTGCATTTGATGACACAAACACCGGGAAACACCAACGTAGCTGATTTACCAATTTTACCTGACAAATGAAATCATGAAAAATGCATGCTTTCATAGGCTTGTGGCTCAGAGCTAAGGCAGCTAAGGAGCTTGAGCCTAGCATCTAGTAGATCTAGTTGTTGATTTTTGTGTAATACCTTGACTCTCACCGTTCTCACTGGTACTTTAATCATCTTTATTTAATCCTTTAGTCTGTTGATGTGTTTGAGCTGTGTCAATGTTGAAAACATTTGGATACATTTGGTGCTTTCGTATTCCTCGCGGCGCAACGAATCTTGGGCTTAGCAGCTGCCATGGTTGCTGGTGATTTCGCTGGCTTTGGTGTTACTTCTGGATGCCAATGCGCACCTTGGCGTGACAGCATTCAGAACCTTAATCCCTGTCTTGGTCCCTCTTTCAGGTGTGAAGAATCCGTGAACATATTACTTTCCTGTTGTCCGACCATTTTCCTGAAGTGCCAGGATGGACTCTGGAGTTTTCCGCACCCTGTTTGTCCCCCTGGTCTGAGGCATCGCATGTCTGAGCTGGAACCGGAGCAGCTTAGCTTCGCCAAAGGAATGGCAAAGTTCCCTAAACCTCTGCGAGCAATCTTGCAAGCGCTATGATTCGACCTTTCATGATTCGTCAGGGGAATCCTTCAATCAAATCCTTCGGTAGATCCTGATGTGTGCTCGCTGGAATTGCGTGGCAAATGCAGTTGACATATCTAACTTTCCCTTGGGATCACCTTCTTGTCAGCTCACTTTGGGATGCTTTGATCTGACAGTGATGAATCTGGAAGCGGAAAGTAAAAACAAGTCCAGCCCGAAGCAGGTTGTCTTGTAGATTTATTCAAACGGTACAGGCGGATCGATGAGCTCGGGATTTCCTTTTGCACTTCATCGGTACTCTACACATACACAGAATTAACTTTCATAAGCTCAGAAGATTCAACTTTGTCTTGCAGAGATTGCAATCACCTCGCACACTATCGGCTTCGTGAAGCATGAGAAGCACCCTGGCAAGTTACAACCAGACAGTCATATGCACTGCGCAGCCTGATCAACAGATTCAATATGTTTCAATAGTAAATTCAATAGGATCATGGTATCTTTCAGGTGACGTGAACATTCGAGAGGTCTTCGTGCTGTGGCCAACAGCTTTGATTTATCCACCCGTGATGGCGGGAACGGCGACTTACCTCGGCGCTGCCTACTGCACGCCGCACATAGTACACCAACAAACTGGAGCGCAGGCCTGAATGGGTTAGCTGCGCTTCGCTTGCCACTCGTCTTACCCCCCAAACCTTCCAACGAGAGATGGCTTGAGAGTTCTGTTCTGCAGGAGCCACATGTGTGTGGATCACATTTCCAGTTTCCTTGACTGCTGTTGATCACATGGCTACCTTTGCAGGTCTATGCAGCGCCTGTGGTGGCTCCTAGGGTGATACAAGTCCCTGCGACGATCTAAGAATGGTGACACAGTCAGTGTGTGGAGGCTTTGGGTCTCGAAAGGAGAACAGTGCATCCAATGCATCCAATGCATCCAATGCATTCCGCAGATTTACATTTACATCAAGGCGGTACAAACTGTCAGCGGCTATGGCGGCTATGGGACAAGGTTCAGCGGGTGCTTCCAAACAAGTCATGTTGAGTCCTTTCACTATTGGTCTATTGGTCTTTCAGTGTTTCTCTATGTTTCTAGGCTTCCTTCTTGTGTTTTTCTTATTCACCCTGGCACTAAAGAAGTTGTTTGCACTTTGCACTTTTATTCTCGTGTTCTTTTCTGCCTAGCAGATCCATGACACATCCTTTGACTTGACAGCGGATAGCAGGATCGGCAGCTGTGTCCCGGTTGTTGCTACTTCAACTACGAGCACTGGCTCTACACCAGTGGTTCCTACTTCAACAACAAACACTTCAAGCGGAGGATGGACGTTAGCTGCGTACAACCAATTTTTTGTCCTCATGGAATTCTTGCCGCAGGAGCACGGCGGCAGTTCATGAATCCCAAGGCAGTTTATGTCGATTGTGAAACACACCGGTATTGTCTGCACATTTTGAACGTCTTTCCACCTTTCCAGTCCTTTATGCTGCTCTACAACTTCAAGGGTGATTTCAAGATCAACGGGAGGCTCTAAAAATCCGAGAGCAGCAAACGGCAAAAATGCAACGGTCGGAACCATTGGATTTCAGACTGTTGGTGGCGACAGGCCAATGATTCTGACCGTTGATCCCCCTGATTCGCCGAAAACTCAGGCGTAGTTATATATATATAATAATATAATATAATATAATAATATAATATAATATGTATATATATATAATATGTATGTATATATATATATGTAATGTATATATAATTTGATGTAATTTGATTAAATGACCTAAATGGCCTTTCAAAGGGGCAGACAACAAGCTTTCCGTTGACATTGTGTAGCCTGCAACTGCTGAAACTGTTTGAGTCTTGATTTTCTCAAATGGCTATCTTCGTCTCGCAGAAGGATCCGTCAGTCCTTTTGCATCGTTTTGCCACGAGGGCCAAGCTTGCAACTGGATTGCGGATCTGGGATGGTGGTATTGTGCTTGCGAAGTGCCCTTAGACTCTTGACTTCAAAGCAGGGGCAGACTTGGCAGACTTTCCCGATCCAGAGAGCAAGTCACCTAACCACTTGCCACCCCACACTGTGGCCACACTCTCAAAACTACTAAGCACTGCTAAGCACCGCCAGGTATTTGGAGTTTTATGCACCCAAAATGGCACAACGCCTCCAGAGGCTCTGGACATCTCTGGACATATACCTGTTCGTAGACTGCGCCGTTAAAGATAGGGTCTGAGTCGTGCTCTTCTTTGTCTCCTACTCTTGAATGTGACCATTCTTGGCATGGTTTGTAAATTGACATGAACTGACGGAAAACTCTAGGACAACTTAAGAGGCTATGTAGATAGCATCTGGCTCTGATCAGAAATGGTTGGACATTGACAGCAGCAGACACTCGTGCCTCAGAGGAATTTGGCTCTCGATGAAGCATCTCCTGTTTCAAGAAAATCAGAGCATTTGTTTCACTGCACACCTTTCTGAATCTCACGATAGCTGTAAAGCTTTTACCTATGTGCTTACAGGTTGTTTTCATCAAAGTCACACCACTTGATTGATTTTATTGGTTTCTCCATCTCGCGGGTTAGTTATTTGTCACACCATGTCTGAAATCCGCTACCCAGCCATGTCGCTCGCTTCAGGCGGCTTGTTATATATCATAACAATATAGTATAGTATGATTATGGAGTCTATTTTTAGCAAAGGCTCCGGGAAGTCAGGAAGAATGTGAACAATTGCAGACATTGACGGCTATTTTTGGTGCTTGATCCAAGCAGGGCTCCAGTGTAGCAGGCAGTGAATGATTTTGCGGTGTGAGCATTTGCGATGGCGTTGTGCATCAGGCGGCCTAGAATGTGTTTTGGTTCGTTGCTTCGTGTTGTTTGGAAAGGGCGGAGTTGGTTCAAGAAAGTGTCACGGTGTCGGCACTGTTAGGAGGTTTGTATCGAATCTCTTCACACGCATGGACCAGGTTCTTGACAAAATCTATCAAACAAGCTGCGCGAGCAAAACAGTGCATGCCTCAGAAGTAGCAATACTGATATGGCCCTGTGTATGCTTGTGCATGTACAGATGGTGCGGCCCCCGTCCAGTCATTAGCAAGGAAAGAATCTGATGTGGCATGGCAAACTTGCATTTTCACATCATGGAACGGACCCTACGGATCCCTACGGACCCTACGTGTCATGGCAAACCTGATTCTCTCACCCACACTCAATTGTGATGCTATGAGCATTTCTCAGTGTTTCAGCCATAGATTTTTTCATCGATCCAGTGATGCCACGACTCCACCCGTTTTTTCATCTAATTTGAAGCCTCGGAGCGTATCTTCCAGAGCGTTTTCCAAGACAAAAAGCACGTTGATACCCTACCGCCTCAAACACAGTCCATGGCATTCCAAAGGGCAGGAGAAACCTGCCTGTCCATTTTTAGCAAGTGAGGTGGGATGCCGCTTTGAGCCTTTTCGCAGAGGCAACTGTGCTCTTTACGGCATTTGCTTTTTGCCTCCCACTCCACATGCGATGCCATCCAGAGGTCTATGTGATGTCAGCACATGTAAATGCATGAACCACCGCACCAGTCAAGGGAACAGCCACGCTGAATACCTTTAATGGGCTCTCAGAATTACTGACTAGTTTGTGGAAGCCTGTCAAAATCAACCGCGATTGCATCCTGGAACTGCAAAGCTTGAGAACGTTTCAGTCAGAACCTACAGAGGCTCTCACTGGCACGAGTTGCAACGAAGATTTTGAGATCTTTGAGTATTGGGACAGTATTGGGCTGTTTCCTCCACAGAGTCTGGGTAAATTCCAAGGCGGTGGCGTCGAGCGAAGTCGACGCTGCTGCTTTCAATGCAGCGATGAATGCATGTGTGGGAAGCTTATGACGGCTTATGAGCCTGTTCCGCCTGTTCTGGTTTTTCTGTGCTTCAAATTTCCAGCATTTGTACAAAGTGTACGCAGAGTGGTTCTTCAGACTTCTTTAGCAT